CTTTCTTAAGAGAAAGACAATACACTGTATCTGCACTTTTATTAAGTGAAATTATGTGAACAAAAGAGAAAAAGAAAATGAAATAAACAAATAATAGTTATTTCAACATTATTCGACAAAAATCTTAAGTGGAAATAATTATTTTTTGTTTCTTCCGGTGGCCGGCTAAAGACTTCCACTGGCCGGGCGGCGTCCGGTCTAGCCCACCCCTGGTTACGCCACTATTTGGAAGCCATTTTAAGCCGCTGCCTGGATATTTCTGCCATACTTAAAAAATAGTTACCACAAAGTTAACTAACTGATAGTTACCGTTATTTCAACGGTAACGGGAAACGCAGTTACAGTTAAAACAACGGTAACTAGAAAGGCAGTTACCGTTAAAACAACGGTAACTGAAAAGACAGTTACCGTTGTTTTAACGATAACTGACTTTTCAGTTACCGTTGTCGATAACGGCCGAAGAAGTAACGGTAACTTTTACAGTCCTAGTCAAGGGCATGATATTTAAACTATGCTACTGAAGGACTTTTTTAAATTTCAACATCGGATTCAGAATTAGTTTGGCGAGCTCCATCGATCTATGTCATGTTCAGAGAAGGCATCCAATATGACAATACAAATTTTCTCTTCACTAATGCACTATTCGTAAGGATTATGCTATGAATTCATTAAATTCGTTATTGATCTGCTCCTAGACCGCACATTCATGGAGGTATGATGAGCTTATACCAGAGAGTTGAATGAGCTATTAAAACCAAACACGATGCCTGGAATACAAGTACATACTCGTATCCATTCAGCTCTGTATTACAGATCATTTTGGCCATGAGGGTACGTTCGTTCTACTGGTATATTAGAGTAGACTATATTGCTAAAAATTATCTGTCTTACCAATATTTCACTCAGGCATTTCCAAGCAATAGATATAGCATAAAAGTTTCAAAAACCTATACAAATTACAGTTGCCAAAACCTACGAACTGATCTGCAATGTTTTGTATTACTCCATCGATAATAACTTTTTTGTTGATCATTCAGACGATTTCTACTAGCTAACTTGCTGGATTTGGTCCACTCCAATTGATGACCGATAGACGTACACTGCGAAGCGAAAATTCTCCTATGTTTCCTGTATCTGAATGTAAAAAGGATGTTCTCAATGAAACATTTTTAGTTAGAATAGTAAAGGAAAGAAACGGTCTTCCTAATTCTGTAGTTTTATCACTCACAGTAAAAAGTTTTACCATTAACCAAGGACAGCATTTATAGTGTAGACAGTCTAACTACACATTTGCTTGCTTATTTTTCATTCTTTATTTTTATATCTAGTGTATAGGTAAATTCATATGGAGTAAAATGTCTAATTGGAACCGAAACCAAATTTGTCTAACTTGTAACTTTAGTATTTCGGTGAGGCTTGAATCGATTTTCACCGAATTTGGAGGCTTTTGTAGCTGAAAGTCTTGGCTATCTAGTGATCTAAAAATCATTCCGAAAATCCCATGGGAGACGGATCTCAGAACAATCGAAAATGTCTAGACGGTCTAATCGGAACCGTTTCAACCTTTTTAGTAAAACCAGTTTTCTACAACATTTCATAGGATATTGTAGAAAATATTTTGCAGAAATTAATTCACTAACGGTTCTGTACACAATGAGCCAATTTCGAAAATTTTCCGACCAATTGGTAATCTAGTCCCTGAGTAATGAAAGCATATCTACTACTACATAGTTTAATGTGAGCATTGTACAGAAAGAAGATACTAAAATCATTCATTTTCAATAAACCAGATTTAAATTTTGTCAACTTCTTGAGAAACGTCATTCATATAACAATCATCTCATACTCGAGATCCAAAAGATATCGGGGGAACATTATACCTACAAGAATAACATACTATTTGTGTATATTTGGAACAATGATAATAAGTCAAATTCAAATTGTCTGGATGTTCACATTTGTAAGATTTTTGTTGAATCTCACCAACTGGTTGCATTGGATAGTATGTAGCTGATTGTGATGACGAGAATATTCCATTGATCAAGCATATAATTTCAATCTTGACATGCTTTAATAGCCATCATAAATAGTTGTTCTTGTAATTGACTCAAAACTGTCAGTCTACCAATTGCTCCCGTGCTACTTCGTGACATTCGACTTTTGATGGTTCCGATCGGTATCTTATAATCGACATAAGCTTGCCGTTGTGACTTACCGGCTTTAACATCTTGGACAGCTAGTAAAAGGTCGTTTAATAAATATTGTAGATTTCGTTTTCTGCTCATGTTATTCGAATTGTTTAAAGATTCCGAATCATTCAGCTGCTCTCTTTTTATACTCTTACCTTATTTATTCATTGTTCCCTTGTTCATCGGGAACAATTTCAAAACAAAACTTAAGTTTATTATTACTCAATTAACAGCAGCAGCATTTCATCTATCTGCATGTGAATTCAGCTTTATTAAATAAATATATGTTGTATGTTATACGTTAACTGCTTTCCATTGTCTCCGTCATAAACCGTCAAGAAACTGTGATCAAAAATCCTCAAAAAAAAATCACACAGCATCTCATGATGAGACGTTAAACAAAATGAAATATGTGCATTTTAGAAGCAGATCGATAAGGGATTTAATGAATTCATGGTACAATCCTTACGAATACTGCATTACCGAAGAGAAAATTTGTATTGTAGTGTATTTCTGTATTTTGCGTATTAGAATTTGAGTAGCAAGCTGCAGGCGCGATTTTTTTTCTAGATGTATATATGTCTAGAAAAAAAATGTTATAACATACACGATTTTCATCCAGGATTTCTCTTTTAATCAAACTCATGCAAACACAAAGAGTCATTATTGACGTCAACAAAAAATATATCCCCATTTGGCAGGGACATGCTGAAAGGATTTGAATTTGTCTGGCATACAAATGAAGGTTGCATCTTGATATTATGGTAAAAAAATTTTAATGTGTTATAGTATTTCCTAAAATTGGACGGAATGTAATTTTGCAAACATTAATGCTATTAGCAATAAATTAACCTGAATTGCATTCAATAACTGTTTCTTGTATTATACGATATATATGTATTTATTCTCACGACCGGGCGAGTCTGGAGCGGTATTGTGTTCAAGTCGAGTCCGCGTCCTTAAAAATCCAGTCTGAGCTCGAGCCGAAGTCTTAAACATTTATATCCGACTTCAAAGTCCAATCCGAGTCCGATAATGTTTAGCTCCTTTTTTACTACACTGATTTATTTCTCTTATTTCTTAGTAAACAAAGTGCTGTAGCCATCACAATACTCAGAGCGACTTTTGATATCGAATCAGCAGGTGTAGTCTATCATCGAATTGCATAATATATGCAAGCACGGCTCATACCTAAACTCAGAAAAACAAAAATGAAAGTGAAAAATGAAACAAAAACGAAAAGAAAAACTTTGAACAAAAGAGTTTTCTGTTGATTTATCTAAAAAGTTGAATCGATCGGATTCAAAGTAGATAAAACTTAAGTCGGAGTCTCTTTAAAAAATCTGCAGCATGAATCCAAGTCTTCCGGGAAAATCTTAAGTCCGAACTTGAGTGCAAATTCGGACTCGCCCAGCCTTGATTCCGAATGAAAACACGTTTTCATTTTTATTTTCATTCATGAATAAAAGTAACATAACACAGATAGCAACAACTCATTAACAAAATTTTGTATAAGAAATGATCGTTATAGTTTAAGTACTTTTCATTGCACGGGTTCATTCATAATGTCGTCGTTTTCCTCCCATTTTCTGTTCACTCTACTAAGTTACTACTTCTCCTTATTTCTGATGCCAACAGGAAACTGGCGTCATCTGCCCTCGTCATCAGTAAATGAACAAATGAACATTTCAGGCGAACTATCCATATATACTGTGATTCTCAGCAGAGCTAATTTCTTTCAAAATTTGAAACGGGAAAAAAACGTGTTTTAGGGTCAATTTTTTTGTGCCTGGGTATATTTTGTAAAACATTGAAGAATGTTCCACGTAAGGCTCAGGAGATATTCAACCTTTAAAAATGCAGTATGTTTGAGTTTTATCTCAGTATTTTAAACTTGAGTTCTGATAAAGACAACTTCCTACAGGTTTTCTTGCATTGTTAATTCGATTATGACCATAAAAAGCTGCTTTTCCAAATTTTTATATGGTAGCCCTAGTCGAGACTCCTGACAAAACTTCCACGGGACTTCTGCGGGCGTCAGATGGGACTTTCAAGGGACTCCTGTGGGGTTTTAAGGACTTTTGAATCGAACGAAAGTCCTCAAAGCTCCACAGAAGGTCCTTGAAAGTCCCATCTAACTCCCACAGGATCCCGTGACAAGAGTCATGTGAGAGTTTGGTCGGGAGTCTGGATTAGGAAACTGAGGGCCTCCCTTACTATGGTGCCGCCATCATTAGTAGCTAAGTGGCCTTGTTCCTTTTTTCCGACGTAACAGTTTTGTATTGGTAGTCATGTGATGTGAAAGAGTTTAAATTTATCGCGGTACTCATGACCTTGCGGTGAGAGTGGCGCCGAATCCGATGATTTGGCAGAGTAAAAGTCATTTTTCTCAGTTTCTGCATCAGCTATGAAATCAGAAAAGCCAGTTTCTTACATAACTTGATGAGCTCTATAAAACTAGATTTGTTTTAAATGAAGCGGGAAAACTTTTGTAAAATGTGGGACATTTCAGATGGATTTGCCCGCTGGCACCTTCTCACATAAAGAGCATGAATATATCCATTGTTTTTCTTGCCTAGTTTTAGGTTTGTTACGCAAGGTTGCATGAGATGACTGACGAAAGGATGACTCATAGATGCAAACGTTGTAACACCTACACCATCCTTACATGTCCTTACTTTTTACACGCTTTCAGACTTAAATATTTAGATACAAACAAAAAATAAACAGTAGAAAAGATATAAGAAAACCAAGAGGTTTCGAAATTCGGTGTTAATTTTCTAGTTTTTGAACAATAAATCGCGTTTTTGATTTTCAAAAGTAAGGAAATACTGATTCAGCCCTGCAGTTTTATCGAGACTGCGTCAGCACTTGAATCAGCTTCAGAAATCTATGAAGTACTTATTAAGTGCTTCATAGAAGAAAACAGCTTTTTTCTTGTTTTGCTTAACACTGATTCCGCATGAATATCCTTATCATACTTTCATGTGTGACTCAACGATAGGAAGTTGTTTTAGGAACGATGACTTGAGCTTTTATTAATAATGTTTTGTGTTTAAAGAAGCCAAGTTTTTCGTCGATGCCGAGGTCAAAGAATCCAATAATAGGATCTTGTAATATCCTAAAATAAGATCTTTTATGATCTTTTATGATTCTATGAAATCATATAGGATCTTACAGGGAACACGTCCGCCATCTTACAGCAAGAAATGATGTGGGATTCCTATTATGGGATCCTCTGAGATCCTACGGTGAGAACTTATGAGATCATATAAGATGCTATATAATCTTATTATAGGATTTGATAATATTTTAAATGATCAGCTAGGATATGATATGGTTTATAATACTAAGTTTATTAGTTTTATTTGTTTAATTATTGTCTGATTACAGATAGCCAGAATCAGGTGATTCTACGCTGGAATAGGCCCAAGATTTGTGAGTACTCGCTCACACGTCGTCGGACAGTACAGCGAGTTTCGATGGTTCACAGAATTTCGAAAACTTGAGCCTAAAAGAATTTTTTATTTTCTACAGTAGAGTTGTATTTATATTATAGTTACTACAAAACACGTCGATGATTGTGCGCTCGTATAGAAAAGGAAAAGAAAATATATACCGAACGAAAAAATAGGAATCCTACAAAATCTTACCGTAGGATTTTGTGAGAAATGCATAAGATTCCTATTTAGACGAATCCTATAGAATTTTTACTACTATTCTATATCAAGAATCCTATGGAATTCCTGTTGTAGGATTTTTTAGGATCCTTCAATAGGAATCCTATGAAAGCCTATTATCAGTAGGATCCTGTAGGATCTTGTAGGAACCGTGTAGGATTGTTTGATCTGGGTAGTGAATCTAAGATATTAAATAACTGAATAGAACGTGACAACTGTGTATTTATGTTTCTAGTGAATATGTCAATAACATATATGAATTTTTCAACAAGTTTATGTTTTATACCTCTATAGCAAATGATACGTTCAATGATTGGTTTACTCTCTTGATTTCAGTTAATAATTTGATAGATGAATTTCAAACAAATTTTTTATCAATAGCAATGGAAATCTTGGTAAATCATTGTTTTTTTTCATAATTTGCATTGTGTCCTTGATAGTTACGATTTTCATTTTTCTTTTGATGACTATGATGGCTATTATAATTCGAATTGCAGAATGACTGACTCGAACTCTTATTAATTTTGATTGACTTTTACCCATATTGAACTATGCATATACTTGACTAGTTGCTGTTATACTGTTCGAACTTTTCGTCCTCTGTCAGTAGTTTGAGTTAGATAATAATTAGTAAAATGTCTTTTATTTGCTCTGAAAATGTATATTTAGAGTTTTGATTGAATGTCAATGAATGAAAACGATCTAAACCATCATTATCTGATAGTGAATAATGTAATATTTTTATTGTCATTTAATGTTATAATTGATCGTACTCTCTCTAGCAACCGTTATCTTTCTTAACTAAACAAAACTATTGTAATTTGATAGTAATGGCAAGGACTTGAATATTATGAGTCACTCACATTATGATAATTCAGACACAATGTTTATCACTTATTGTAGATCATCAGGGGTCACTTACACTAGCAAATAGTGCTTAGCAAGGTATATTGATGATCAAGCCAAAGATTGTAACAAAAAGAAAGAGATTAGTTTTAGAACTCCTTTTAGACAAAACTTTGTGAGACGTTTGACCAGTGCTTTTTAGAAACGAAACTCTTTATTACTTATTAGAGCAAAATAAAGATTTATTATATACAATGTTAATATTTAGAATGATAATTTAATACAACTTCGCTATAGAAGAATATAGTTGAATGCTAAAATTATGCATTTTATCTTCTATATATCGAAATTCGAGGTGTCTATATGAAGATATATTTCAACACTGCTTACACTGGAATTGGACTGTATCATGAACCAAAGGAACATTTTTTATAAGAACAAATCTCAAAATCAAAATTTAGTTTTAGAAAAATTCTTGTTTTTAGGGTGCATCGCAGACGGCAGAAAGTGTACTTCAGAATATTGATACATTTTTTTAGACTTGATCGATTGAAAGTAAATTGAATGGCATAATTACAGGAATTGCAAGAGTTTAATAAAATTCAATTATTCATATGTATATCTATGTGTGTGTGTATACAATAACTCAAACTTCAGTAGCACATTTCATTCTTTCTCTCTCTCAATACTGTCACACTGAATGAAAACAATTGTCATATCCAAAAACAGAAAAAACGCACTCGCTATGAATAATTAATCGTACATATATATACCAACTCTATGTATAGAAAAAGTTTCTCGTTTCTACGTAAAATTCAACAACTGGACGAAAAAAAAGATTAGTATCGTGATTGGTCCTTGTTTTCATCAGAATGATATAAATAATTCTACATATTCATTCATTTTATTTCACATTTTTTTCTGTTAATTCTTGTGCATCATTCAACATGAACTATACAATGCCGCATACAATAACGATCTACGCAAATTCTTCTTCATCAAAATCATCAATAAATCGTGGTCCAACTAGTGCAAATAGAGGTGGTAGAAAACAAACTAAAACAGGTACTTTTTAAAATCAGTTTCTAGACACCGCTTATGTTGTGAGGTAGGGGGGAGGGGAGGGATCCTTCCCTGCTTTTTGAAAAAATTTACTCCGAAACCAGGATTTTCTTACTCCTAAAATTTGGTCTTTGACTTACGAGAATATCCGACAGAGTAAAGCGTTTATTCGTATTTTCAGAGTAAGACAATTACTCTCATTTTTAGAGTACAAAAGCCTTATTCTCAGTTTCGAAGTAAAGCGCTTATTTCCATTTTCAGAGTAAGGCGTTTACTCTCAATTTTTGGAGTAAGATATTTATTCCCATTTTGAGAGTAAAAGGCTTAGTCGCAGTTTCGTAGTTAGGAATTTATGCTCTTTTCAAAAGTAGTTTTACTCCAATTTTTAAAAGCATAAAAATTTACTCCGAAATTGACTTCTGGGGGGGGGGGGGGGGGGGGGGGGGGGGGGGGGGGGGGGGGGGGGGGGGGGGGGGGGGGGGGGGGGGGGGGGGGGGGGGGGGGGGGGGGGGGGGGGGGGGGGGGNAATTGCTTTTGCCCCTTTTGTTTTTTTGTATTTTTTTTCCTTTTAAAAATTTTTTTTAAACAAATTTTTAAAACATAAAAAATTTAACCCCAAATTTCATTTTACCCCCCCCCCCCCCCCGCCTACTGTGTATCGGGGCGCTTCTGGTTGTACGAAGAACTTGTTGAGAGTGAAAACGCGTAGATTTTTGTTATCTAACAAATTTTCAAATTCTTAATTCTTAAAAAAAATCATTTAGTTTATCCTTGAATCGAATAACACAGGAAAATCTTTCATTAGACTTTATATAAAATATGCATTTAGGAACATCAAAACGTAATGCTCGTGAACGCAATCGTGTTTGTCATATAAATACTTGTTTCGATATTCTTCGACAACATATACCTTATGAACGAAGAAATAAAAAATTATCAAAAGCTGATACATTAAAATCAGCAATGAACTATATCAATGATTTACAAAAATTATTAGGAACAGATGCGATGTTAATTCAAATGCATCATGTATTTGATACTGATAAGATAGAAGAAGATACTTTACCAGACTGCAGATGTTTATCGACAAACAGCTTTTGTACAAATTATAATATGAATAAATATTTACGACAACAGTTTGAGAATGGAAAAGAAAATCGAAAGGAGAGAATATATACGATGAGTGACCATCAACAGGAGCAACAATCATTGCATATGATGACTCTGATAAATACAACAAAACACGAAATGTGGGATTGGAGTGATAGTTCAATAAGCCAATAAACGGAAGTGCTAGGGTAAGCAATAAATTACTTTACAATGATGTTTGACTTCAGTAATAAGAAAACCTTGAATAATACATAAAACTTTTGCGTTAGGCTATTTTTTTTTGATAAAACATATTGCTTGTTTTTTTTCTGTCGTTAAACATCTTCACATACTGTGTTTATGTTGATTATCTGTAATTTTTTTTCTTAATTATGAAAAAGTACATATTGTTCCTCACGATACCCACTGTTTGAAGACATATATTACAAAATACGTTAATGAGTGTAGTTGACTAGAAATTATCCTCTATTATTCATTGAGACAATTGCCTGTGTAGACACAGTAGGAAAGTGTCGATGATGTCAAAACATTATTGAAAGAAAGATTGACAAAATAATAATTGTACTTCTATCTAATCACGCTTTTTTCTAATTTAGATTATATATGACAAATACAATACCGGTGATTACATTACGTTTTCTTTTTGTATAATTTTTTGTATGATATGATATTTTGTAAAAATTAAGTTGAGAATTATATGTATAAAAATAGAGATATGCTAATAATACGTATGCTAGTTAAATTAATCGAAGAGCTTTCGCTGTTTAAGATGTGTGGAATGATCAGAAATTGTTTGGCTAAAAATTCTGAAAAATAGTAGAGATTTAGTATCAGTAACACGAGACTTCTAGTATCGTAGTTTAACATTTATTGAAAATCTCTGTAGCTATTAGTTTATTGCATGATTGTATCTGATGGGATCCTGCCGTTACTCACTCTAATTTTAGTGGAAACTGGCTTTGTTTAGAATATATAGATCGTTTCTTGAGATATAGTTATAACCATTTACGGTGTATTCTTGATTCGTCGATATATTTATTTTTTTCCTGACTCGTCGACAACATTTTGAGCTGGGAGATGAAAGATGTCTGTGAGCTGCCGACACTTTATAATGTCGACGAATCGGGACTGAATCCCATTTACTCATTAATCGTTGTGTTAACTAATATAATTATTTTTTCATATACACTACTAATAATTCTGTTCCTATGTCATCTCTCTATTCCTTGAGTGCAATCTATTATGTTTTTCTTTAATTCACTTCACATATAACTAATGAATAGAATGAGGTGCATATTTGTCTTAATTAAAGTTGATGATAAAGATTTTTTAATTTGTGTGTATGTGCGTGTCATTCTTTTGTTGTTCAAATAGACGAAAACAATAATTTCTTGACTTTTACAATTAAAATACGAAAGGTGTTAAGAGAACACTACTCATTGCAGAGAATCTGCGAACTTTTTTTTTGTAAAAGTTCGCCAAACTTTGCAAGCAATTCGAAAAAAGAAAATGCCAGTGATTCTGTTGGTTACATTGAATTAATCAAACAAATATATCATCACTCTGATATTAGGACTTTTAGGAAAACTTTTATAAGTCGTTTATTAAGAAACTCTCGGAGTTACAGAACGTTCAGGCTACAAAAATTTTGTATCTACAAAGGGAAAAATTTAAAAACTCAATTTTGACAAAAAATGAAGATTATAAAATCTTGCTAAGTGATACATCAACTTTCTGTCATAGCTGAAACACTTTTTTTGCGGTATAAAATCCAGTCAAGTTCTGTTTATTATTCGAAGAAAAGTAAGATAGATATTAATTAAAACGGAACTGAACAGACGATCGTCGTGTTAATATTAATTCTAATATTCAATTTCCGTTTCAAACATCCTGCATGTGCACAACAGATAGCCAACGGATAGTAGACCTCTAATAGAATGATAAGTGTGTATAATGAATATGTATGTATAAAATGTTGACCTTAAAGTTCTTCTCATTGAATAATGAATATAAAGGATTAATGTTTAAGTATTTAATTTTTTTTTCTTCTTTTTCTTCTGTTAATAGCTGCTAGTAATAAAACAATAATACAGACTTCTCGAGACACCAGTCACTCTAAAGTATAGTGGTATTATAAGCTGATTAAATGATATTGGTCAAGATTGATTTATAACATAACGGAAGCCAACAAAAATAATTCTCATCGCTTTTAAAATGACTTTTTAATCCCATTTCAAAATTAGTATACGATACAAACCTCACACTTCAAACTCTGTCAACAGAACTGATGATAAAGTGTATGAGGAATGCGGGCAGATTATTGATAAACAATGCGATCAAGAAAATTATTTCCATTAATGAATACCTTCTTACTAATAAAACGCTGTATCAGTACGGTGTGCCATTCAATTTGTATCTTTAACAGACTAGTTTATAGAACTATTGTTTCAATGTACAAATATAATTTTCTATTGTATTCGACAGTATCAAGTTATTGCAATCATTCACGGAATTCTCGTAGTCAATTATTATTGTGTGATTTTTCATTGGCATAAACTATCGTTTGAATGGGTTCGCTGTAGCATTTTCAGGATAAACATGTCCATGAAATAATTTTTATTTCTTAATTTTCATTCCTCAAAACGTGGTGGATCGCGCACACTGTTATTGTCTCTAACAATACAGAACAGGACGCGTTTGTTAATAATTTGAACAAGCAAACTTGAACCTTGTTCTCTTTCTCCATTCTTTAATGACCAGTTCCAAGAAGGAAGACAAAAAATTACCGCCCGTTTCGAAAAACAGTGCTCTACACTATTCTGTAAATCACTTTTGATCTAAAGCAGCCAGCCAGCTGCGGTCTTTCGAGAGTGAAAACTTGGGATCATCTTTTTGGAAGCAAAACACTTTAAAATCGATTTCCCGAGAAGATTTTCTAGGAGACATTCGAAACCCAGAACAAAAGTTTATATACACATCCATGTATATAGTCCGAAGTGTGCTCTTCAAATTGAGAATTCATTTTGCTTTTCATTGTTTAAGAGGGGCATTGAGTTTCCAAGGATCGGTTTACGATGATTTCTACCATCCTCGAAAATGTTCGCGTCATTCCTAAGCTTTCTAGAAAACCTTTTCAAAACTCAAGTGCTTCTATTGCTTTTGCTTCTAATATACTTTTTTCAACTTCTATTGAATTTTAGAGTACACTTTACATAAAAAATACACAATTTCGGTTGTATGCTAAACATGTGCAAATGTGTTTTTTTCTAAGAAGCAGAGAAACATGTGCGAATGCTTTACTCTGAGGAGAAAAAGCGGAAAACATGTGTCATATTTGAATGAGCATGGCTTTACCATCAGTGAAATTATTCTATACAAGAAGTCTTGGAATCGTGCAAGATGTAATTGGTTAAGATCCTTATGTTATTTGAGTTTTGTATCAAACATTAAACACAAACTTAGATCAAATTTTATACATTCGATTCAATTCTAAGGATGACTTTATGCTGTGGCAGCTATCCATTTTTTGTAGTAGAAGGTATCTTATTAGCCAAAACAAGGAAAATGTAACACAATTTATATTACCTTTGATCTGTGTCTTATTACCGCTGTTTTTAACGAAAAAATATCTAAGTTTTCGTTCAATACATAAAAATAACTTTCAAATTTTCATCTTTCTTAAAACATAGGTTTTTTAGTGAAAAAATGGTGTTACTTGATATTGCAGAAGTACAGTCTGGTAGTTCTTGCCGTGAAAATAGTGGTGATCATGAAGATGAAAAAAAGACAAACATTATTATACAACGTCGATAGTATAGGAGTAAAAAATCGACAATTTTAATAATATTTTTATTGACAGCAGGAGGGTTCACGTTTCTTCTTATCCACTTATGACCAAAAATAAATACGAGTAAAGAATGTTGGGTCATTCCAACTGTACTAAATCTGTATTAGACATATTTTTCTTTTTTTCAAGCACCATCAGTCATTGATATGACGTTTTTACCACAACTAACAACACAAAGAAGTAAGACAATTTAATTTGTGTTGGAAGCAATTGTTCAATTACCATCATTGATTCTTTTTTTTTGTAGCTTCTGTGTCGCCATTAGTATGCAATATTACTGAGTATCTAAATGAACGTAATCAGACGATGCATCCCTAGTTTTTTTTGCCCAATCATGGAGATGTAGTCAGAAACATTTGTATCTGATAACCATTACGTACAAAAATATTTCAAATCTCAGTCGTCATGTACTCAAATAATCCGAAACAATTAATGTTCCACAAGTGAAGATAAACGAACATTTGATATTCAATAAAAAAAATTATTACACATGGATAATGATCGCAAAAAATTCCCTATCGACTATTACATTGCACCTGTTTTGTACTGGATTCTTACCGATGCGAAATCAGCAGATCTCAGTAATGAAAAGACATTGTTTGAGTATCATTCACCAGAGCCAAAAGATTTTTCATATGAATTTTATACATTTTTACTTTACACATATAATGAAAAAGTTTAAAAATTTAAAACAATCAAAGTACAAAACGAATTTTCATTTGTTGATTCAATTTCCAACAATAGTTTACAATTATTAGTATTGGACAAGATAAATACGTTAATAGTTGAAGCTAAGTTCTACTTTGAAAACGAAAACTACAGTAGTATCGGTTATTCTCTGTACCATGTATGCTGTAATGATGAAAAGCGCTAAATTAGATTGAAAATTGACCTCTATCAAACCAGATTTCCATGAAAAATATTCATTCGGAGGCTTTTCCGAAATTTAAACTATTAATCATAAGACTAATATTGCTTGAACTTCCCATACACACACTCACCAGTCACGTACTAGTTTTTCAAACAGTCAAGGAGACTAACGAAACTAAAACAAGTTTTCATACAGGTTTTCAAATCTTTCCTCCAAAACAAATATTACTAGGTTACTCAGCATAGCATATATTCCAATCATTTCTGAGTTTGCCAAGTTTAGTACCATTAACTGGATATTAGTCCATGAATTCGTATATTTTTGACGCTAAAACATTTAAAAATAAATGTCTTCCTTGACTCTTATCTTGGATAAGACAATCTGAATTATTCATTCATGTAAAAATGTTGATCATCCGCTACTTCGAAGCGATGAGTTGTACTATACGCGTCGAAA